GAAGGAGGTTTTATGCATGTTTATGACAACTGTCATTAAGTGTCATTGGCTCAGTTATGTCATTTTTAATGCAAATATGACATTATTTGACCTAACCCTAATCTAACCCTACCCTTACCCCTAACCATAGCCCATAACAAAGACATCTCAAACAATGTCATCTTTGCATTAAAAATTACATAACTGAGTGAATGACACTTAACGACAGTTGTCATAAACATGCATAGAAAAACCTTCATATTCATGACATGTGTCATGTCATGATTATGAAGGTGTCATGTCAGTCTTATGCACACCCCTTCATGTAAAGTGTAACCCATTTTTCTGACCATACTTCATTCCGTGATGTTCCGTTTCGGGATGGGTGGATCGATCGATCCTTAAGTATCGATACTTTCGATACTGATGTTGTCATCAAAACACATCACATCAAAATATCGATTCTAACGTGCATTTTTAACCATTAATTTTATTTATTTATCAAGAAATTCGGTGCATAAATTAAGCTTCTAAGTGGAAAAATAGACTATATTAGCGAATAATTGTGTTGGATAGAACAATTTCTACTGGAACACACGCAAATACTGAAAGACAGAACCAATCCATCACAGACAGCGTTCGCTGCTGACATATGGCTCACAGTGCTTGTTCAAATAGGGCTGTGTTTCCCAAAAGCATCAGAAGCATAAGTAGATCTTAAGAAACTATTGCCACATTATCACATTACATAACGTTGTTACTATATATAAAATTAATTCTGAAAAATGCATCATGGTTTCCACACAAATATGAAGCAGCAACAATAATAAATGTTTCTTGAGCAGCAAATTATATTAGAATGATTTCTGAAGGATCATGTGACACTGAAGACTGGAGTAATGATGCTGAAAATTATATATAAAAAAATATTAAAATAGAAAATAGTTATTTTTAATTGTTATTTTTCACAATATTGCTGCTTTTTTTTTTTTTTTTAATAAGTGCAGCCTTGGTGAGCATGAGACTTAAATATATATATATATTACAAAATCTTACTGACCCCAAACTTTTGTGTACATGTAATATTTATTTTCAATTGGCTAGTTTGTGCAAGTAAACTTATTTAAACTGGTTGTTAAAAGTTCAAATGGATTGTGTTATGTTCTGTAATTGCTGTTAATAAATCTGTCAGAAAGAAATATGCTACAGTTTCACCTTTAGGGGTACAACAGCCTGGCAGCCTTTTACAAAAATTAACCATGGTTTTATTACAGTAACCACAGCTTACCACAGTATTTGTAGTAAAACTGCAGTAACCACAAATTGACCATGGTAATAATAATACATTTTAGTACTTATGTAACACCATGTTTATTTTTCACGAGGTACCCTCAAAGGTGCACTTTTGTAACTTATCTACCCTTAAAGCATGCATACTTGTATGGTACTAATATGCTCTCTTTTAGGGGTATAGTTGCACCTTTGAGGTTACTGCCCCAGTAAAGGGCTAAAATACAATTATAGTATATTTTATTTATGACAGCGTAAACAAAAAAGGCCTATGAAATTTAAAAAACATGGCTTTAAAATCTAATATTAAGTGAGTATAATTACTGATTATATTATTTTAATAATGTAACCGAGGTATCGGTATCGAAGATACTGGGCTTGAAAATATCGGTATGCCCCAGTAAACGGCTAAAATACAATTATAGTATATTTTATTTATGACAGCGTAAACAAAAAAGGCCTATGAAATTTAAAAAACATGGCTTTAAAATCTAATATTAAGTGAGTATAATTACTGATTATATTATTTTAATAATGTAACCGAGGTATCGGTATCGAAGATACTGGGCTTGAAAATATCGGTATCGGATCGAAAATAAAATAAGAGGTATCGCCCATCCCTAGTTCCATTTGCTGTTCGGAAGCAGTGATGCTCGACTCGAGAATGAATCACTCGTTTGAGCCGATTCTTTTTAAAGGGCTGAACAAAAGACACCATAACTATAAAGATAACGATATATATAGGCTATAGTTCTAAAAGTCGTTCTCAATATTAAAAAATAGCAGAGTCTACACCACACAACTATAACCATAAAGGCACAGAGAAACGTTATCGTTGGAATCACTTTCAGAACGATTTTTTTCCAGCTGATGAACGATAAAATATCGACACCTAATCAGAATCAATCCTGCTGTAACGAGCTGAAGAATTTAATGCGGCAGACGAGCGTGTGCTTAGAATAAACAGACTGCTGGTGTGGACGCTAATAGGCTACTGTATAGTTCTTGGTGTGAACGGGCCTTTACGGTCTGAACAGTTCGAGAAGGGTCTAGCTGCAGCCTTGCACTTGCACTCTCAGACTTGCATTCTCAGGCTTGCATTCTCAGACACTTGCGCTTCCGCTAGCAACGTCACTTGCAGTCTTTATTTTTTATTTTGTTCTATTTTTTATTACTTTTTGTTTGAATCTCTCAACATTTTACAACAGTAGCCAGGTGGTGAAGACAAGAAAAAAGAAACTAAATTACGAAGTCACTTGCAATGGCCGCTTGCACTCTCCGACACCTGCGACGTCACTTACAATCGACACAAATCGTGCGTGTTGCTAATGGAGACAAGACGCTGTGGTGGTGATTAAACGATTACAACTAATTTAGTACTATAACATACAGAGTCCTGCAAGAAAAAGACAAGACCCGCAAATCCGTC